TCTCTCTCTCTCTCTCTCTCTCTCAACATTAACAATTAAACCCGTAACCTTAACAATTAAACCCGTAATCTTAACAATTAAACATGTAACCTTAACAACTGACCCGTAACCTTAATAATTAAACCTGTAACCTTAACAATTGACCTGTAACCTTAACAATTAAATAGACAGAGAGAGAGAGAGAAGGGATCCATAACCTTAACAATTGACCCGTAACATTAACAATTAAACCCGTAACCTTAACAATTGACCTGTAACCTTAACAATTGACACGTAACCTTAACAATTAAACTCGTAAGCTTAACAATTAAACACGTAACCTTAACAATTGACTCATTACCTTAATAATTAAACCTGTAACCTTAACAATTAAACTCGTAACCTTAACAATTAAACCTATAACCTTAAAATTAAACTCGTAACATTAACAATTGACATGTAACCTTAACAATTAAACCCGTAACCTTAACAATTAAACCCGTAACCTTAACAAATAAACCCGTAACTTTAACAATTGACCTGTAACCTTAACAATTAAACTCGTAACCTTGACAATTAGAGAGAGAGAGAGAGAAAGAGAGAGAGAGAGAGAATGGATCCATAACCTTAACAATTGATCCATAATCTTAACAATTAAACTCGTAACATTAACAATTAACATGTAACCTTAACAATTAAACTTCTAACCTTAACAATTAAACTCGTAACCTTAACAATTGACCCGTAACCTTAACAATTAAACATGTAACCTTAACAATTGACCTATAACCTTAACAATTAAATCTGTAACCTTAACAATTAAATCTGTAACCTTAACAATTAAACCCGTAACCTTAAAATTAGACCCGTAACCTTAACAATTGACACGTAACCTTAACAATTAAACATGTAACCTTAACAATTAAAGAGAGAGAGAGAGAGAGAGAGAGAGAGAGAGAGAGAGAGGATCCATAACCTTAACAATTGACCCGAAACCTTAACAATTAAACTCGTTACCTAACAATTAAACTCGTAACCGTAACAATTAAACATGTAACCTTAACAATTAAACCCGTAATCTTAACAATTGACCCATAACCTTAACAATTAAACATGTAACCTTAACAATTAAACTCGTAACCTTATTAATTGAACCCGTAACCTTAACAATTAAACCCATAACCTTAACAATTAAATCTGTAACCGTAACCTTAACAATTAAATCCGTAACCTTAAAATTAAACTCGTAACCTTAACAATTGACCTGTAACCTTAACAATTAAACTCGTAACCTTAACAAATTAAACCTGTAACCTTAACAATTAAACTCATAACTTTAACAATTAAACCCGTAACCTTAACAATTAAAATCGTAACCTTAACAATTGACCTGTAACCTTAACAATTAAACTCGTAAGCTTAACAATTAAACCTGTAACCTTAACAATTGACTCATAACCTTAACAATTAAACCCGTAACTTTAACAATTGACCCTTAACCTTAATAATTAAACATGTAACCTTAACAATTAAACCTGTAACCTTAACAATTAGAGAGAGAGAGAGAGAGAGAGAGAGAGAGAGAGATCATTAATAACCTTAACAATTGACCCGTAACCTTAACAATTAAACTCGTAACCTAACAATTAAACCTGTAACCTTAACAATTAAACATGTAACCTTAATAATTAAACTTGTAACATTAACAATTGACCTGTAACTTTAACAATTAAACCTGTAATCTTAACAATTAAACTCGTAATCTTAACAATTAAACCCGTAATCTTAACAATTGACCTGTAACCTCAATAATTAAACTTGTAACATTAACAAATTAAACCCGTAACCTTAACACTTAAACTCGTAACCTTAACAAATAAAATCTGTAACCTTAACAATTGACCCGAAACCTTAATAATTAAATCCGTAACCTTAATAATTAAACTCATAACCTTAACAATTAGAGAGAGAGAGAGAGATCCATAACCTTAACAATTGACTCGTAACATTAACAATTAAACCCGTAACCTTAACACTTAAACCCATAACCTTAACAATCTCCCAATACAAATAAAACAGTTAGTTACTCTCATCAACAACGAAAATAATAAAAAATAATAATAATAAAATAACAATGCCCATCAATTATTTCAACTATCAGTAACAGCATCATAAAGAGAGAGAAAGAAGGGTATTATGGTCTTCACATATTTTTAATCTCTTAGGTTTTGTGTTTTAGGGGCTCTGAGAACAAAATCTTTATTTTTGAGGGTAAAGCACCCGTTGACAAAGTCTTGGGGGGATGGGGAAGCATGTTTTCTTGGGTTTTGGGGGATGGAAGCATTTTTCTCTAAAAACTATAATATATTATATAATATTAAAATATTTATAATATATTAACTTATTAATAACATACTAGTAATAACATAATATTAACTAATACTATAATAATATAAACTAAATATTATAATATTTTATTTAAAATATATTTTATTATAATTAATATATAATAAATTAATAATTTGTTTAATACTAATGTTATAATGAGTCAAACTAGTGTTGACAAAAAATACTTAACATTGTGTTTTGAAAACATTTTAAGGGAAAAACACAACACCATGGTGTTTTTCTACAAAAACACAATAAGAAAAACACCATGGTATCCAAACGAAGCCTAAAAAGCTTGAAAGCAGTTTACACCTTAAAGCAAACTGATAGTCAAAGAAATACATATATATATGTTTGTGGGCTTCAAAGATTTAAAGGTTGCTATCTAGGAAGCAAAATTGTCCTTGAATTACAAAGCAAGAATTGGTGTCTTTTTCTAAATAGAATATATTAATATTAAAGGAGCATTATCAGAAAAGTAATAATTGTCTCAAAAAGAAATATCATAAAAGTAACAAGCTAATACCCTCAAACTGGTAATTTTATAAGATCGGACAATAAACAAAGCAAGCACAACAATAGAAAGTGTTTATTTATCAAGACTTTCCTAGCAACACTTTAGCAAGACTTCTTTCGCTTTGATTGTTTTGGATTTGGAGCTTGGAGGAAAGAGTATGTTTAGTCTAAGTTTTTGGATAGGTTTTTTTAAGAGGATAGGGGAAGGATTAGAATGGTTACAACTTGGATATAATTTTTAATTAATAAGGGAAGGGGATGGAAGGGTTAAAAAGGGGTAAATTCACTCAATTTCTTAACCCTCCTAAAGTGGATGGATTGGGTGGGGACGAATTGAATTTTAAGTGAATTGATCATGTCAGTTCTCTTCTCTTTCCATTTACTACTCTAAACAAATATAAATTAGTTAAATTACACTCCTTCCCTCTTCATTCCCCAGTTGTTTGTCCATACACAATTTATTTCTATTGATGTTAGTTTTCTAGCATGGAATTATATATGGATTATGTGGGGTGTTAGGGTCCTCAATTTTCTTTAGACCACTAGGCTCTGAGCAGCGAGTTCCATCCTACACATGAATATCACCTAAGAGGTCGGAGTTAGAATCTCTGGTAGTTTCTCCAATGATCATTTCAGTAGAGAGCTTGAGTCGAGAAATATGAAGATAGTGTATTTTTTAGGCAAGAGATTGTTTACCCTCAACAGTAGACATCAGCCTCTTTATTATAGCAAATTCAAAGGGTAGATGGGTAACTTTGACTGAGTCAAACAAGCGGCTTAGTCGTCATCTACTTCGCAAGTGTTGGCCGCAGAAGGGAATGAGTCACACATGCGTTTAATGTGAGTGTGACAGAATGTGCGTAGTGTTGGCGAGGTTCGATAAGCCATAAAAACTTTCGAGGCTAGAGAAACGATGACTCTGATCATTCATTTAATGTGATGACAATTGCTTGTTGGTAGGGGCCTGAGGATGCACCGCCTCTAGACTCGGCTTGGCGAGAGGGTTGACAAACGACGCCTTTTGTTTTCGTTTTTACGAGTGAGCCGATAAGTATTGCCTTTTTAGTCGGTATCGAAGGTTGTCGGCCCAGCCTTATGGAGTGAAGAGGAGCGCGGTCGACTCGAATAGTATGGGCCGATAAGTACCGTCATTTTAGTCAGCCTCGAAAGTTGTCAGCCCGAACTTAATTTAGAAAGGGTCGAGTGCTGAAGTTGTTTGAATTGTCCTTCTCATAGTATAGCTGGGACACGTGTCAGCACTTCAAATGGGGCTAACACTTGGCTATTTGTGTGATATAACAATTTCATAACACTCCTTTTGTCTCCTTTCCCTTCTCGTGGGTTTAATTCAATCATTCCCCCCTCACCCTACCCTCTTCTCTATCCAAACCTACCCACACCTTTAATTCTATATTTGGGACATATATTTAGAGGGGGGAGTCAGAAATCAATTTGTAATTTTGTGGGATCCACATGCCCCATAAGATGACTTTCTTGAAGGTGTGCCATATCTTTCCTCTAGATGAGTGAATCAGAGAATCTTCACTACTTCATTCTTTGATGTTTTATCATAAAACAAAAAAGAATAAGGAATAATATTTGTAGTGGCCTATAGCACACATTAACTTAATCAAATTTTCATACAGTACGCATGCAAACTAATATTGAACTTGAATCCCCTATAGTTCTCATACGTGGGAGTTTGAAGGAATAGAAAATTTTCATTTCTTCCTCTTTCAAATTTCATTTCATCATATATCAAAAACACCAGGTCAGAATTTGGCAACCCCCTTTTCCATTAAAAGTAAATTAGCGCACCAAAGTGATGCAAGAGAGCAAATAATCCAAGGGAATAAAGTTTCTTCTCAGAGTCGCTCTTGACAAGAAACGAACCTGCCTTTATTTCCATTCACTCTCCTCAAGCAAAAGTCGTCCGCATTCCTCAGCTCGTCAATTTTGCTTCATTCTGACTTCGCTGCCATTCTTCTAGCATGCTGATTAAGACACGATAACATTGCGGCATTGTGGATATTATATAATCTTTAGTATGATAAGCAATTGACTGTGACACAAAAAAAAAAAAAAAAAAAAAAAAGGG